AGGAAACCCATAGCAAGGGCATGATAAGCTCTTAATGTAGGGCCCCAGTACTTACCTATGTTATCTTGGAGGCTCCTTAGTATATTTATACGATAAAGGAGCCCAAAGCCCTATTCTAATTATTAAAGCCCCTACATTTCAAGGGGCTCAGGAAGGCGTGGGTGGGCTTTGGGTTCTGGAGACTCCGATGCCCCCAGTATCTGATCCTTAAGAACAAGCAGGGATCTTTAGCAATAGTAATGTAGGGGCCTGAGTAGTTACCAATACCATTTTGGGAGTTCCACTTTTTTTATCTGGTAGAATGGGCCCCAAAACCGTATTCTAATTAGTAAGGCCTCTACCGTATTCCTGACAGCTCCAGACCACCCCAACCAGTGTCTATTCATGCTCATGTTTTACACTCTCATTCCAGAGGTCTTCTTCTGAATTCCTGGAAACCTTACAGAGCACTTCGGAATCCCTGATAAGCCCGCCCCGGAAACCCCCAAACCCTCTAAATCTCGAAAGCCCGAAAGCCCTAGACTAAGCTGTCTGGTTTCCACTTTTCAGCGTTATAGTAGAAGCCAGAAAGTAGAAACACGGGTTTCGGAGGGTTAGTGCTAGGTTCCCTTTTACTTTACCTACAGGGCATGAGGATCATCATGTTCCAACTCTCTGGGAGCTTCCAAGTCGCTGAGTTCCCCGGCCCAGCAAAACCTAGGTCCTCGTTTCTGGTAGGGCTAAGCACGCCCAGAACGCTGAAGCCCCCGAAACTACGGTTGATGATACAAATCCTGCATAACCCATAATAAGGAATGTACCATGATTCCCATAGTTTAGCGCCTTTAAGGTAATGCAGGATTTATACGATCAACCGTATTGAGGTTTTATAAATTGCAGGGCAAGGGCTTTAGCAGCCTCATTATGCTAGAATTGGAATAAGGAACCCCCCAAAAGAGTATTAGGAATTGCTTAGGCCCCGATATTAGCTACTGATGCCCCCAAACTGTAAGTTGCACTCTGCAGCAAGCATTGAGGCCCAGCAAAGTGCTCACGTGCTTTAGCTAGCCACAACACCCGCAACCCTAAACCTCCTGCTCCTCGAACAACAACTTAATGTAATGTAGTGGCCTTAAGAATTGCAATAGGGTTTAGCGTATATCATACTATATATATATATCTATAATAAGGAGCCCCCCCAAAAGAGTATTAGTAATGATTGAAGCCCCTACATGAACCCCAAAACTCTGAACTGAACCACCTACCAGCCAACAGCCTCTACAGCTCTGATCAGCAACCCAAAAGGCCTGAAACCTCTAATGTTGATGCCTGGGCTTTGGGTTTGGGGTTTAGGGTTTTGGGGTTTCGGGCTCCTGTAAGAGCTCTGTGAAGGATAAGGGTTGAGGGGTTTAGGGCGTCGGGGGTTTAGCGTGTAGGAATTGGGCGACACCATTGTGAAGAAATCCCTGATGCAATTTCACGCCAAGCCATGGACGGCAGGAGCTCAATGTTAAATCCACCTACCAATCCAACCGTTCTAAATGTACAGTGTAAAATCTGAAGAGAATCAAAGACACAACTAAACATGAAAATGAGCGAAATAATGAAGCGTATCCAATTGGGTCTTTTGATAACGAAGGCAATCATAGGCTGTGGAACAAGAGTGAGAGCGATGAATGATAATAAGCCACCGAGACAATATTCCAACCGTTGAGGCCCTTAGATTAAAACGCCCTGGAAACTCCTGCAGAACCACCTTAGAAAAACACCCTGAACCCTAAACAGGCTGCCTTTGAAGGATCTTTCTTCTAAGTTGCTTGAAGGCCCTCGAATTACTGCCCCTATAAAGACCCTCATAGAAGCCTATAAAGCCCTTGCCAGGAGACCATTTCCAAGCTTTGAAAGGCCCCTCTACTACATCCCTAAACCCTATAGACCCCTGGACTCCTAAACTCCGAAACCCTAAACCCTAAACTTAAACTCCTGACCCCTAAACACCCAAGAGAGCATCCCATGCATCGGAGGTAGCCTCTTCATCCTGGCAAGACGCACCGTTTGCCCCTCTCCCCTCATTCTTTCTTCTTTTTGGGGTTTGCTTTATGGGTTCCTCTCAAGGGCTCCTCTTCGGTTTAGGGTGGCAACAGGGGCTTAGGGTTTCGGGTTCAGGGGAGTTCGTATAACAGGGGCTTAGGGTTTACGTTCTTGGGGATGCCTCTCAGGGTCCTTCCGAAGCCCCATCAGGAGCCGCTCCTTTAAGGGTTCCTTCAGTAGACGCCATCGAGCCAAGGGTTCTGGGACAATGATAACAAAGCTTGAGATCGGTTTATAGCGACTTTGAATGTGAGGTTTGTGCCAGGCTGTTTTGGGGTGTTCGGGTTTCGTCCACTTCAAAGACACTACGAACTGCTTTGCAAAGTCGCTTTGATACCGTTAAGAATCTCCTGACGCTCGCCTAGGTCGGACATCGGAAAGCCCGGAAGTGGAGCCTCAAATGGCACCAATATTGCAAATGTTTTAACCCTAAACCACAAACCCTAAACCCTATTCAACTGTTACTGCATGGGGGCGGTATCCAGCCTAACCTACCTCGAGGAAGGTTAGAAGCTTGGAGCTACTTCGTGTCGCTACCGGTAGGGCTTAGTGTAACGTGTGTTGGTAGTCGGTATATCGGGTTTGGACTCTCTCGCATTCGCGAAAAGGCAGGTGAGGCAGGCAAGGCTTAGCCGCAATGGTCCTCAGCTACACTCCGCTTTAGAACCAAGACAGCGTACGCCTCAAACGCCACGAATCGACAACCTATCCGGGACCAAACCACGCAACGGCACAAGCAGTCTCTCAGTGGCTTCATCGAGGCTTATACTTCATGTTCTCCCGAATGAAGAGCCTCAGGGTTTGGAGGGTTAGGGTTCAGGGCTTGGGGTTTAGGGTTTAGGAGCAGCTGTGGCAGCACGCTTTCTCCGTGAAGCTGACAAGCGATCCGGAAGATCATCTGGACGAGCTGATCCAGTTCCCAAGAATCCGCAACTGTGTTTCTGGACCTAGAAGCCAACTTTTCCGAGACCACCCTAAACCCTAAATCCAAAACCGAATCCAACTTTTGCGAGACCCGTTCATGTGATTTGAGATGTTCTGCCCTGAAATGCAGGGCTGCGTGTTGTGTAAAGCAGGAGTACTTACCCGGTCCGGGTGCCACGTAACATAGGGGCCTTAATAACTAAAATAGGGTCTTGGGGCCATTATACTATGATTATAGTAAGGAATCCCCAAAATAGTGTAGGTAATTAATAAGGCCCGTATATCACCGAGGCTCCAGAATGTTCCGGCTGCATCCCTGCCTGTGCTCCGTATCCTTTATTTCAGCACGGACTGCCATGCACTAAGCCCTGAATCCCTTCCCGCCAATCCAGACCCGGCCCCCTTGTGGTGTAATATAGGGGCCTTAATGATTAGAATAGGGTTTTGGGACTTCCTTATTATGGTTATAGTATACTACTTCAGCCACGTATCCTACCTCCCTAGACTTTTTGAAGGATGAAGTAGCTTTCTTCCAAGATCTCCCTCAAGTCTGCAGCTGCTGGGCTCTGCTTGGCCCCCCTGAAGTTCGTTAAGCATCCGACCTGGCTCCCCTAAACCCTACACCCACCCTAAACCCTAACCCCCGTTCAGGGTTGCGGGGCTTTCTGGTCGGCCGAGGTCTCAGTGTTCCACGCGAAAGCCAACAAAAGCTTTGATTGCAGGATCTTCCCGAAATCTCCACCATTTCAGCACTCATCCACCATTTAGGGTTTAAGGTTTAAGGTTTAGAGGACCCTCTACACTTCCATGGTATATCCCTCGACGAAGGCTTCTTGGGTCCTTGTAGGGACTTTGGGAAATGGGTGTATGTACAGAAACCGGCTCCGAGCTTTGCAACAGGTGCCAGGACCCGCTCTTCTCAAAAGAGAGAGGTCCTTTTCAAGAGTTGCTGAAGGCCTTACTTCCCCAAGAAGCCAGGGAAATAGCAAGTTCAACTTTCAGATTCCTACTAAGTTATAAGAACCCCAAAAAGTTTAAAGGATGGGTATTGGAGAACTAAGACGCTCATCACCTTAAACCCGGAGAGTTGGGGGTCAGTCTGTAAGGTTCATAGGCTGTTGAATCGGCCGGAAACTCCCCAGAAAGCCCAATACCCCTTAAAATAAGCAATATAGCTTAAACCTTAAGATGGAGCACCTCATAAAAAAGCTATATTCCTTAAACAAAAATAAGCAATATAGCTCAAATCTTATCATGGAGCCCCTCATAAAAAAGCTATATTTATTCCTTAAACAAGCTGTCTTGGGCTCTCTGGGGGGCTCTCAGACACACCTTAACATGGAGCCCCTGATAAAAAAGCTATATTCCTTAAGCAAGCTGTATTGGGGCTCTCTGGGGAGCTCTCGGAGACTAGGTTGCGGCCAACTTGAAGGAATTCCTCCAAGCAGCGGGCAGGGCTTTCAGGGTATTTGGGGGGTTTCCGAAAACAGGGGACCCTAATATAGCACCCTAAACAGTAGGATCCTTATTATAAGGACCCCAAAACAAGGTACCCCGTATTTTCGGAACCTCCCATTTAAGTTGGTATTACAGATGGAGGCACGCTCGACAGGGGCAGCTCTCCAGAAGCCTCCTGTAAGGCCTTAAGAATTACAATAGGGTTTTGGGCTCTATTATACTATAACTATACTAAGGAACCCCAAAGTAGTATAGGTAATTCTTAAAGGCCCCTAAAGGTAGGATCTCCACTCTTGTACCGCCCCAAGCAACTCCCATGACCGGCACTTGACTCTTTGGCTTTCCTGGCCGGGCTGCTGTGATCCAGCCCGCCAAGGGCGGGACAAGAGCACAGTGTCTTTTGGGTTTAGGGTCTAGGGTTTAGGGTTTAGGAACTTTAGGGCTTAGGGTTTATAAGGTTTAGGAACCCAAGACCTGAAATTTGCGAATTTTCCCTAAACCCAAATTACACGCCGGCTTCGGGTTTGGCTCTCAGCGCCGCTTTGGGCTCAGCCGAAGATCATCTCATCGCTTTTCTTCGGACGTCCCAGCTGGCCTAAATGGAGGAGGCATCAAAGCGGAAACCTTCATTCGTTGTATAGGTTCCTCTTGTAGGTGCCTTCGAGTGATCCTTAATTTAGGACATGCCTTGATGTGTTCAAGGTTGCGTTACATCGCAAAAGCCGTGCAGACTGGTCATGTTCGAGCTTTGTTTGATTAGGAGCTTGTGCTCGGGGCTGGATGCCCAAACCCTAAGACCTCAACTAAAACCCTGCATCTCGAAGGGAATCCCAAATTCCATTGCTGAACTTTTAATCACTTTTGTTCTTCTTGCACTTCGAGCTTAACTCAATCAGAGGGCGAGCCTTGTGGCTTCAAGTTTAGACGCTTGCACGTAACTGACATGGCTTGCCAGCTTGCTTTCAAGTTTAAGCCCAAGGCTCCGGGAACACAAGGCTCCTTTGCTTGGGGTATGAAACACCCCTAAACCCTAAACCCCTAAACCCCTAAACCCCTAACCCCTAAACCCTAAACCCCTAAACCCCTAAACCCTAAACCCTAAATATGCGAAATCCAGGGTTCGGGGTTCAGCCCAGAGCCTCCATCCAATATCCCTTAATCAAGGAATTTACTTTAAATTATAGTAGGAAGCCTAATAAGATTTAGAGTATATTCCTTAATTAAGGGATATCGGAGTCTCTGGGAGGGGGGCTTTCTGCGAAAATGCCTCGGAAGCCGAAGCTTCACGAGATGCTTGCGGAGTTCCTAATGCAGGGGCCTTCATAACTAGCAGAGGGTTCCTTTAAAGGGTTACTATAAGGGTTCCTTTAAAGGGATCCTTAAAGGGTTCTATAAGGGTTACGATAAGGGTTTAGGGTTTGGGGGCCTTGATAATTGTCGGAGGGACGGGTTACTACAAGGGTTATTATAAGGGCTCTATCAGGATATAACAAAGGGGCCTGATAATTAGCAAAGGGTTTTGGGGTATACTGTACTATGATTATAACAAGGAGCCCCCAGAGCAACGAAGCCGCTGATTTTTGGAAAGACTCTCGAAAGGCCCCCAAGCCGGAAGCTCCTCCGTTAAATGTTGGCAGGGCTCTATAAGGTTACGGGTGGGTTAGGGTTTAGGGTTTAGGGTTTAGGGTTTAGGGTTTAGGTTTTAGGTTTAGGTTTTATGGTTTAGGTTTAAGGTTTAGGGTTTAGGTTTAGGGTTTAGGGTTCAGGGCTCAGGGTTTAGGGTTTAGGGTTACCTAATCAGCCACCAAGCACAATTTTAGCAACTCGAGCTCCCCAACCCCAAGATCACCACTGGATTTTTCACATCATAAAGGTCAGAGAAATGACTACAAGGGTCGACATGGTGCAGTTGCTGGCACAGACGGATGATTCCGAATTATTACCACTATTCGTCGTACCATTATGAGAGCACAGTAAGCCTAAACCCTAAACCGTAAGGGCCCAGCCAACCCAGATCTCATCCACCCATTGCTCCAGCAGCTTGTCGACCTTCCAAAAGCGCTGCATTCCCCCAAGTCTCCCCTTCATAGGGTTTAAGGTTTAGGGGGCTTAAGGGGTCTAGGTGTTTAAGGTTTAAGGGTTTAGGGTCTAAGGTGCCAGACACGGATTTCTCTGCACTGCCCGAATTCTGAACGACCACCGGGCCCTAAACCCTAGCCCTAAACTGCTCAAGGTTAAGACGGAAGCAATAAATCAAATCTGACAAATTGAATTTACTGGTTCTTGGACTCGCGGGTGACTGCGGGGGTTTGCCAAGCCCCGCAGCTAGAACAAAATCTGGGAGAAGCCTCCACTCACACCACCTCTTTCTAGCCAGGATAGTGTCCTTGCCCAGAACCTAAAACCCTATATCGCAAAGCCGTAAAACCAGAAGCCACTAAGATGCTAGAATCCGTTGTGCCAGGGGTCCACAGTGACCCGCTGAGCCATTGAGTGCCCTTATCCCCAAACCCAAAAAGGCGCCCCACACGGAGATCTAGCAAGCGCAGCCCAGGTTCTTTTGGGACATGTCGTTAGGGCAGAATGCAGGATGACTCTTCCAGCGAACCCTCCGGGAATACCTCCTTTGAGCCATGTGGGGGTTTCCGAAAATAGGGGACCCTAATATAGCACCCTAAATAGTAGGATCCTTATTATAAGGAACCCAAAATAAGGTACCCCTTGTTTTCGGAAACCATGTAGTTAAACTCTTGCATCAACCGGTTATGAAACCCCCCATGCCATGTCCGAACCCTATTTCGCCCACCTCGAGCTCTTCGATGATGCCTGGGCTTTTTCAAGCTCAAAGGGTGTCTTTCTGAAGTTTGCAGGAGTAAGGCAGGGGTCTGCAGCGGAAATATGAAAAAGGGTTAAAGCAACAACAGACCAAAGGTTCTTGCGAGTTTCATCTCCGTGAGGGGACGACATCTGTCGGACGATTTGCAGTCAAGTCCACGGTGTTGACCCGTCAGCAAAACCCCTAAGCATGTTTCGGGCCTCAAGCCTTGGGGCTTGAGGGTAATTAGCTTGCACCGCCGGGTTTACAGGTGTGTGACTCACATAAAGCGGTTTGAAGTATGGGGTTGGCGAGGCTTGTTTCGACGCTTTGACCTCAGCCTCATGCTGTGTGTACATTGGTTGAGGGCTTCGGAGCTCCAAGCCCGAAACAACTGAAAGTCGGTTCAGTTTTCGGGACTATGGTGGAGGAGGCTAGGGAACATGGCTCCGGATTTAAGTCTTGAGGCGTGAACTTGTCCAGATTTCTACGGCAACTCGTCGTAAACTTTTCGATTTATACCACGGTGTCTACCTACCCAAAATGTACGTAGTTTTCGGAGTATACCACGGTGTCTACCTACCCCAAATTTGAAGGGTGTTAACCGACTAGGACAAAAACCTGCGCCTCTAGACCGCAAGCTTGTCAACTCCGAGCTTCTGACCCCGAAACTTCCAAGCTGGGAAACCGTAGTGTCTAATATAGGAGCCTCAAGAATTCGAATAAGGTTTGGTGGTCTATTATACTATAATTGTAATAAAGGAGCCCCCAAAATAGCATTCTGATTATTAAGGCCCCTACATTAGATCCCCTAATTTCACAAAAACAAAGCCCCTACTCAGCAATAGCGAGGGTTTCTTTTCCTTCTTGGACCCGACTTACTCATAAAGCAAAAGACCCGAAAAGGGGCACATGGCAAAGGAGCTGCTGCATTGGGCTCCCCTCCAGAAGCAGGCCCTAATGCAGGGGGCCTTAATAATTAGAACAGGGTTTTGGGGTATATTATACGACAATTATAATTATGAACCCCCCAAAATAGTGTGGGCAATTAGTAAACCCCCTTTATTACCCGACCCTCGTCGAAGTCCCCAAAATGCTGCGAAGATTCGGAGACCGTTATCCATGGCTCGGAGAGTTGTCCGCAAAGTACCTTAGAGTTTGATCAGCTAAGGGCATTTTTCAGCTCTCGCTCTCGACAGGCGGTTTTCTTAGGGGAGATTTCCAGACCAACTATAAAAGTGGCACGCCCAAGACCCTGCTCCGAGGTGCAATGTGACCATGCAGGGTAGATAAGCCAGACCACAGGTACTATAGGGGCCTTAATAGCTAGAATAGGGTCTTGGGGCATATTATACTATAACTATAATAAGGAACCCCCAAAATAGTATAGGAAATTGTCTAGGCCCCTAAACCCTAAACCAAATAATCTTGTGAGAAACTGTGGGATCCGTAGCTGAAACTTCCTCATGCGCCCCTCTGTGTTGCACGAGTCTTCGCATCTTACCACCGGAACCCTCACTCCAAACCTAAACCATGATATATATATATATATATATCTCATATGTTAGACTATCCTAAACCCATTCATATATCATGTAAAACTTAACATGCATAGTTTGTGAACCCCCGGAGACCTAACACCAATACCGGAAAAAAGCTGGAACCCACCGAGGCACTCTTTCCATGTAGGTTTTGCGTGATCCTGTCGTCAAAACGATCCTTGACGCTGGCCCACTCCTGCGCCCAAAGGCCCAGTACCCTTCAATGCAGGCTAGGCTGAGCCGCTTATCAATCAAATCCTAAGCCCGAAACCCTTAGCCCTGAACCCAATGATTTCGTTTTCATTCAACCAACCCTCCACAACACCCTTAAACATCATGAGCCTTAGACCCGAGGCTCTACCCCGAACTGCAGCTTTGGAGCTTCAGGGTTTGGGGTAAAGTAATGCAAAGCGCCACGGCTTACGGCTTTGGGTTTCAACGAGAGGGCGTAGGGTTTAGGAGTTCCTGGCTTGGTATCGTCGTCCGCGTCGTGCAAGAACACCGTCGTCATCAGACGCATCGCGAATTGCGAAGCGGATCTGTCACTCGAGCGGTGGTCTCGACTTGCTCGCCGACGCAGTTGTGGCTCGAAAAATGGGAGACTCCAAGACCGGAGCTACACGAGAAAAGCACGGGACACCAAATCCCAAACCGTGAAATCTCCAAGGCCGCAAACCGTGAAATCTCCAAGGCCGCAAGCCCTAACATCCGAAACCCTAAACACATAGGTTCTTTTTTCGTGGCTGCGACGGGCCTTCTCGGGAAGCTGTCGAAGGCAGTCCGGGACAGCAGCAACCATATTCAGGAGATTGCCTCGGGAGACTCACCAGTCCCTCGAACGAACCGATATCGTGTCAGCAATTGCAGTAGTAGTAGAAGTAGTAACAGGAGTAGCAGCCGCAGTAGCAGTCGCAGCAGCAGTAGCAGTAGCAGTAGCAGTCGCAGTAGGAGTAGAAGTAGTAGTAGTAGTAGTAGTAGTAGTAGTAGACCAGCAGCAGCAGCAAAAGGGCGTAGGAGCAGGAGGAACCTGAGTACTACTAACTAGTAGTACTAGTAGCAGGCCGTGGTGTTGGTCCTGCTCTTGGTACTGGTGGTCCACAGCGTCGAGTTTGTGGCCGTCAGCAATCATAAAGGATGACGGGAAAGACTCTGAAAGCAACCGCCGTCGAAGATCTACAGTCACTGTGCGCGTACGTTCGTCATCACATCCATAGCCACAATCGCACTCCAGGACAACAGCACGAAGTCGCGGCCACTGCAGGAGAGGCCCTTTACCGTGCCATCAGAAGCGCAATCACAGGACCAATGGCCCGACACAATGGGGCCGAAGCCCCAAGAGGAACCGGACAGCCTGTACGACAAAAGAGGAGAATGTCAAAGGCTTCCACTATCTGTTGTGAGCCTAGAGAGACAAAATCCCAAACGCGCTTGCACCAATACCCTCGAATCCTAAACCCTTCATCCCAAAACTCAGTCAACCTCGCCAAAGCGTACCCCGCCCAAGGCTAAAGACCTTTACCAGATTCTTCGGCGACCCGTCTCGATGACTCCGAGCAGCCCAGTCCGGTGAGCTTCACCCTCGGGTGTCCATTGTTGAGACTTTCGGAGCTACCGAGTTGGGCTTCGAACTTCGTACAAAACGGTAGAAATTCTGTACTCAGCACTTTCTTGACTGATAAGGAGCCATACTGGCACTAGTGTGCTACAGTTGCTACCATGTCATTACAAGCATCTCTGTAGCCCCGGAGAGCAGTGTTGCTATCGTGACTGCTTGTATCACTATGGATAGCTCTGCGATGAGTACCCATTGTTACGTATGCCATTGTGACTGCATTGATCGTGAGTTGCCCCAGACTCCTTGCACTGGCCACAGGTAACCGTCGCCCTCGCATGCGAAGCAGTGCTTTGGGCTTGTACTCTGCACTAGCCTTGATACTTCAGGATGCATTGTTTCACAAGGTTAGCTGCAAAGAGTACTGCGCATCAGGGGTGTTGTCAGGCCAGTGTACATCTTCAACTTCCTGGTGCTTGACACGTACCCAACTGCAAAGCAGATTAAGCTGTCAAGCTCAACATTTCTGCAAGTGGCATCATTTCTAGCTTGTCCAGGTCAAGAAGGGGACCGCCCTCGTCCTGGAGAGGGATTTGGGTTCAATGTAGGGGCCTAAATGATCACCAATGCTATCTTGGGGGTTTCTTATTATAGCTATAGTAAAAATGGGCGGGCCACAGAAACCCTGTTCTAATCATTAAGGCCCCTATATTGCACACCTGGGCCCTGTTAGCTTGGGTTTTGGATTTCGGCGACGAGTCTGCTGCGCGAGATAACTGGCAGGGGAAACGATAGAACAACAGAGCCAAGATTCCCACACAACAATGCTAAAGGCACAGAGGTAGAGATCTGAGCTATAGCAAGCAGTACTCTACTTGCGGATCTGTGGAAATACATCACTACCGTTGGTCGCGCGCATCAGATGGACCCTCTACTCTTATTTTGAGGGTTCGGAAGCAAGGATTGGTGGTTTAGGGTTTCGGGTTTAGGGTCCTGGGGAAGACTGGGATCTGGCAGGTTCGAGAGCATGGAAACCTCCAAGAACTTTGATCCGGCCATGCGAAACACTTACAGCTGGACGCACGGGAATACGGGTTGGAGCGTTGCGCAGACTCTTCGCCTGCTCTCTTTTCATAGCATGTGGAGTGACGAGCGAAAGTAGGATAATGCTGAATTCAATTTTCAGCTCCTCTGGCGGCTGACCCTGAAGAGCAACCACGGCTTGCATGTTGGGAAGCTGAGTAATACGTTTGCAGTACGAACTGACGCTGAACCTTGAAATCCATACCACCAGCAATGCAATCGAGTGTCGTGATAGGTCTTCGCAAAGGTTTCCAGATAAAAGCGGAGATTCTGCTTGTTGTTCTCCTGCAGCGCAGCTGAAAGCAACAGAATTTCTTTGTTGGCGGACTGCCAAACTCCTGTTCCTGTGCCTAGGTGAATGGCACTTCCTGTAGACTATCATCTACACGCACCACTCTGTGAGCCCGAGACAACTCGTCTCTCACTCAGAACAAGTAAGGCAGCTGCCCATTCAGCACAGTTGATGTACCAGTAGATCTTGTGTCCCACACCTCGGTCTGTGCTAGCACTTCGGACTCCAACACCTACTCTCAGTGTCGATCTAGTTTCAGGCTTCTTTACGAACCCTTCATGTTAACTGTACCCTGATCTTACAGCCCACCAATGTCCAAGAAGCAGTCTCCAACATTGTGTAACCTACCATTCTAAGACCGAAACACCACAGAAACCTCAAAGAAGGGACTTCGTTTGCGTGGCCAGAGCCCCTCACAGAAGAGAACAGAGGGACATAAACAGGAAACCTCGACCAAAGCCCTAAACTCTAAACAGCAGCTTAAACTTCATAATTGTAAGCCAAAGCCCTCAGCCTAAACGGCATTCCCTTCCTTCCAGAGGACACGCCGCACCGAATCCGCCCCAGTCCAACACGCCGCAGTCCTTGGCAAGGTGCTTTTTGTACCATGCGGATAACGTCTAAGCACATGATTCCTGACTGAATATAACCTCTCCGACCCACACTGCAATGGTCCTTAGCCGCCCAAAAGGGCCCCGGGGTATTTGGATCTATGTAGAATCAGGACGACCCGAGGATGTTGCTTTTTGCTGCTGTCGGTTCGAAGCTGCGTTGCGTTGGGTGTTCTCTCACATCTGTTACTTGTGAGACTGCAGGTCCATCACGGAAATTCGGAAACCTGATGAACACGACAAACATGCAAGAACGCCCATCGGCCTCCCCAAATTAGGGCTTTTTGGGCTTTGTGATTTTAGCTCACTTTGGCTTGGTACACTTCTCATTTTGTGCGTGTCATCTTTGCGCAGGGGCCATGGTAGTCTTCTCTGCATCGTTTTAACTTTATCGGATGATCCCCGAAGGAGTGTGTAGCCATAAGACTTTTAAGCCTGGGATTCCAATTGGCCCTGGTCGTCTCGCCAGAAATAGGCATTGTCTACCTTGGGCGTGCAGATTCGCAGCGCTCGAGATTTCAAGGGCTTGGGAAAGGATGGTTCGAATCCAAGATCCATGAGAACCAAAGCACAGCGGGACACTTGCCTTAAGGATTGTGGGCTGCTGTCCCGTGTATGGCATGTCAGGAGCTTTGCACAACACTGCTTTTCATATGCCCCCTAAACCCTAAACCCTGAACCCTGGACCCTGAGCCCTAAACCCTAAACCCTACGTTTGAGAGGGTCAGGATTTCAAGCTTGAGGGCTTAAGATTCAGGCCCACCCCGGGCTTTCTTCAAGGTCTAGGGTCTGTTAGAGCTTATTGCGGTTATGGGCTTTAGTAACGAGGTGTACGTTTGAGGTATAGGGACGCGCGGAACCTGCCGGCAACAGCAGCGAAATGACTCAATGGTTCAGGGTTTAGGGTCGACACTGCCTACAGTTTGTAACTCTCCTGCTGCACTCCTGCTTTTCAAGGAACGGGTTGCAACAAGTTGCACGCTCACTTAACAACCATGCCGAAAGCGCCGCAAACCAGAAACCCCAGGAGGTGAACCATCTTTATAGGTCCCCAACATAGTACGGCGCCCTTGTTGAAAGGATCCTAAAAGGGACCCTAAATTAGAGAACTACCCGTATCATGCACTTCAGCTTTCATCCTGAAGCCGACTCACAAAACCTGAAAGCTTTTGACCCCCAAGTCCCACATGCCACAGGCTCTCTCGCCGGTTCTGCAGTCTGGTCACGTTGAGGTTGGCCTCGCAGCGACGGAGCTTCGTTTGGCTGCCAGAACCAACTCCGGACCTTCTTACTTCCCCAATAAGCTGGGTTTAGGGTTTAGGGTTTAGGGTTTAGGGTTTATAAAGGCTAAACTATCAGATTCCTACTAGTTCTTGGGCTCCTACTCCTTACCCCCACCTCCCACTACTACCGTTCAAGCTTCGGGCTTGGCGTTTCGTTTACAAGCGCTTAAATGTAGGGGCCTTCATAATTAGAATGGGGTTTTTGGGGTTCCTTTTTTTATAATTACAGTATCATATACCACAAACCATTAAGGCCCCTACATCAGAGCAGTGCAGCTCGAGCGGCGTGCGTGAGGGCGATGTAGTCGGCATCCAGGTGCCTTGGCCACTACGTAGCTCTCCAAGGCTAAGGTAGAGGGCTTAATAATTAGAACAGGGTTCCTTCAAGGGTTTCTTTTAAAAAGGGTTATTATAAAGGGCATTATTATAAGGATTTTAATGCAGAAGCCTTGATGATTAAAATAAGGTTTTGGGCTCCTGTATAACATGGTTGTAATAAGGGATCCTTAAGAGTAATATTGGGAATTTCTTGGGCTTCCATTTTAGTTGGAACCCTATGCACCAAACTCACACCCCAACCCTTCATCCATAAACCTGCTATTGATGGGAGGACTGCCGAGAACCTGAGGCTCTGGATTCCATGGCTCGTTCATGCGTGCTGCTGCCATTTAAGGCGAAGATGATTGCAAAGATGGGGCTGCATGTTCGAAGTCTCGGGTGCAGGAAAGATAACTCCACATCACAAGATGATGCGCTGACACAAACCTGTAGATGGAGAGACTGAGATGCACAAGTAGAAGGTTGCTCTAGTGGAAGCAGAGCTCTTGCACAACTCTAGTATAGGAGCACTGGTGTCAGCAGCAGAAAAGGCAAGTACCAGAAGACGCAGCATTTCTGGCGGGAATCGTCGTATGTGGGTACAACCAGCAGCCCAGAAGCAGTGGCAGTAGCAGGCAAGGGGCGGAATCGTATCAGTTGCACTGAGTTGCACCCCCTGCACATCATCAAATGCCAAAGCGCTTCCAGTAGTCGATCTCCTTGGTGTAAGCCACGAAGGTCATCATGGTCCTGCTCGACGGAGGCTTGGGCTCCCCTTTCCCAGGCTGGAGCTTTGGGTTCACATTCCGGCTGCATGGTCTGAAGCCCATCATAAATAGCTCCCTGGTCCAAAATCCCGAAACCTGGGGATTTTTGGAGACCCATAGCCTGGTGAACTTCTCGATGTAAGCCTCCGTCTTTGCATACTCCGGGAAAAGGACTGCGGCTGTCTTTGAGAAAAACCTTGACAAGGCATCCGAGGCTTCAAATCATCAACGAAGACTACACCCAGAAAAAATGCTTACCGTGCAGAGACTTAGATGTACAGACTTATACGCAGACAGAGACATGCACATATACCTGCACACATAAATACATACATACATACA